TGAGAGAGGTCCAAATGTAGTACCTATATATGTAATATCAAAGCAATTGCACTTGCGGTTTTCAACAAGAAGTCGAAAATGTCACTTTTTACTAAAAATGACAAAAATATTCACCAAAATTAGAGAATTGAAGATATCATCATGAAATGAACAAATCTGAGAGAGGTCTACCCAAGGTACATATACACCAAGTATCAAAGCATTCAGGCTTGTAGTTTTCAAGAAGAAGTCGAAAAAGTAAAACATTGACACGGACGACGACGACGACGACGACGGACAATCACTCATATGATAAGCTCCGCTCGACAAAGTCGACAGCGGAGCTAATGAAAACTGATCAATACTCACCTCTAAGTCGACATCTGATTTGATATATTTTCTTGTTTGTGGTTGATTTAATAAATATAATATTGTAAATACCAACGATTCATTCACCCGAGATAACTGACTGTCTAATATGTTGTGTAGTATTGTATTAATTCCACCACACTCTGAAATAATTTCTATATTTTTTAAAGCTGCAAGAAGAAAGCATAACACAACATCATTGGCAATCAGTCAGTTCGTATATAACTATTTTATTTTACACTTCATTCATTTACATTACTGTAAACTACTTTCAAAATCGCAGTCAAAATCGCCAAATTTTATAGCTGTAAAAATGTTTGTGGGGTCACATGACACAAATTGTCAGGGAGTTTTATACAATTTTTCCAAAATTACACGGTTTACAGTATACGTAAGGAACACACTGCACATATTTATGTGTCGTAACAGCATTTTATCACATATTACGATTTATCTAATTTGTACCACGGCAAATTAAAGACATTTTAACCAATCAAAATATGTTGAGGAGCAGACACACAAGTTTTTGGAATTTTGATCTAAAAATACTATGCCAGAACATATTACCATGGTAATTGTGATTCATATCTCTTGGCACTATAACCCTTTGAAGCCCAAAATCAATCTTTGTTCACACATTCACAAAAAAATTACTCATAGCCAGTGAAAAATTATGTCAATTTGGTTCAAAATTAAACAGGAAATTATAGAAAAATACGTAAAAATTTGTAAAATGTTGCATAAAAATGTAGACGGAAATCATTTACAGCATTTAAAGGGTCAACAAACTCATCATTTTTTAAACTATTCAATATTAACTGTTTATTTTTATTCCTATTGCATTACCCAAATTCTACTTCCCACAAAAAAGTGTTCAATTTGTGATAACAATTTAGATACACAGAACAAATGTTCAATTCCTCTGCAGTTTTTTTTTAGATCATTTATACTTAGTTAGCTAGTTAGCTGTAGGAACAGAAAAAAATATATATGTAATTTCTATTCATAGCATGCATCAATTAAAAATAGGTGCACCACAGCATTTCTGTGATTTTTTTGTCAGAATTTTAGAAGAGATTGTATGACAATTTTAAAATAAAACAAATTGACTAGATACCTCAAATTTAACTATAAAAGATAATATTAGGCTACTGCACAGTACATATGACACTACTTACCTAATTCACATATTGTGGCTACAGAGGATCTCAGTAACCTGTCCCTCTCATGTCCACCATCGTTACCAATGGCAACTATTGTATTGGCAAGAGATCTGGGAAACAATTCTGGGCACACTGTAATAATCTGAAAACAAGACATATCAATTTTACTTACTACTCCTGACAACAAACTGAGAGGATGGTGCTTGTCACGTCATGTTGGATATAAGTCAAACACCTCTATACAACAGTCAGGTAGACTAGATGCAGTTTATTATTTCAAGACTTTGACAAATCTATGAACAATAGACTAAAAAATTGGTCTTGAGGACTGTTGGTCTGCACATGCAAGTTCCCATGGTAATGTACTGACTCCATGGAGACAGCCAATCAGTGATGAAACAGAATTCTGTGCCATCCAAATATTTAAGTAGCGATTCACCAAGCCATTTTGAGTGCACTTAGACGGGCACACTGAATGAATGGATTCCAGGCTAACAGTCAGAAGAAATAAGTGACAATAATAATCTCAATAGACCAGTGGTTTGAATAGTTTGACATTACAAAGACTCATTCTATGGAGAATCATTTTCAGTTTAACTGATGCAACATTTCTCTGTATATTTTTGTACCAGTAATGTCTTTGTTAATTTTGGACCAAATGAGTGTAATTTTCCAATTGCTCCTGGAATCAATTTTGTTTTTAAATACATAGAAATATAAACAGGTTTAATTTGTGAAAAAGTGACAATTTGACTTTTGGCAATGAAAGTTCTAAAAGTGGAACTGATAATTTGTTATTTAGTTATTACTAGTCTGTGGATCCACAGGCAATGTGTCTGTCCATTTCACAAATTTTTTTTGAGAGGGTTGATATGAGGAAAAAGAACCTGATTTCACATGCACTGCAGTCAGACTGGAATGAGCAGTTTATATCATTTCCATCCAATAGAATGAACCTACTATCAACTATTCATACTCCTGTGGCTGATCACTGGCAGCATAGTGGTTGTTGATTTGATTCATAACAGGTAGACCCAAGTTCAAATCTCGAACTGAACAAAAAAAATGGGTGGACTCTAGTCTGGGCGAATGAACCACAATATTAAAGTGGAAGCCAAAATTACTTTGGGAAAACCTTCAAGATACTATATGAACGAAAACGGGTATATTTTAATATTGTTGTTTCATACTCCAAACTGAAGACCAAATTGGATTATCATTCATCATAAACTAAAAATGGAATGGGAAATCAAATCTACTAAACAACTAGTGCATATGCATATTAGAAATTTTCATTGTCTTATCAAACAAATACTCCAATGTGTGCTACAATAATAGCGTTTTCTTGTCATGATCAATCATAGTACAATGTATGTATCAAAATGCAGTATCAAACAATACCAAGAATTACACATTCTCTATTCTCATCCACATTGTGTCTTTGAGGAACTTGAGTGTAGGTGCCTTGTCACAAAAACATGGAATTCTGTGGGAAAATGCACTTTACCCCCACAGAGTTTTAGTTGTCCCAAAGTTAGCTTAGCACATTTTGTCCATATTGGCAAACAGCGTCATAGGACATTTCTAATTATTTTCCATATTTTGGGTGTAAATCTAAAAACAGTGAATTTAACAGAAAAAACACACTCATTGTCTGAAATGACTGAACAAAATTAGGAAATTTTGAAAAAAGTACCAGCAAATTGCTGATGTCTGGGGAATATCTGAATCACGGCCCTCATCAAATGCACTTGCAAGCCTGGAGAGTTTACAGTGTTATTTAATTTCAACAATTGGCACAAAAATTTATAAAAAAAAAATGTAATATACAACAAACCTTTCTCATAAACCGAAGCGCTTGTGCCCGTTCCACTTCATTATTCTGGTTTATGTCAATGCATCTTGCAACAAGAATATCAATGTGATATTTCAATAACACTTGTAGCGTTTCTACATTTGTTATCAAATATCGTAGCGCTCGCAATCCACCAGCCCGTACTTCTTTCGCCTCATGTAGAAGAGAAAGTCTCAAACTGTCCATAAACAAAATGAAATTAGTGTAGCTAATGATGTGCGTGTTAGTGGATTGAATTCCTGAATTTCATGTTAGACGCTGTGTTTGCTGTACTAAAAAAGCACATGTCTGATGGAAGTGTCTATAAACCTAAAATTGCATCTACTGTATGCAGGATCATAGAAATATGTCTTTACTTGTCCATAGATATATGTTTGGTATTTATATAAGTGCATGTGCTACTAAAAAACTTTGTATAATATTCAAGTTACTTAACCTTACTTAAGGTAGAGATGCAGTTTACCTGACAGGTATTTTAATTAGTTAATTAGGAAACCAAGATTACCTCCCTTGTCCACAAAACTATATATTTTTGGAAAGCTAATATTGTATGAATTTTAAAATTTTGTAAGTATTTTTTTTTTATGGACACTAGTTTGAAATATGCACAAAAATGTGTTTTTTTGGTCAAAAGTGATTTTAAAAAAAATAGCTTCTAAACCATGCCTCTGTTTCCTGTCAAAATTGGTTTAAGGGTACATCTGTTTACTATGAAGAAAGTGCCGTCTTGAAAACTGTTAATTGCTAAATCTTGCTAAGCATTCAAAAGAGAGAATGTTTGCACCTATTATCTATATTTTAAAATCGTTTTTGAGTATGTTCCACTATTCACAATTCTACAAAATTTTAACAGTCTATAGCGAAGACTGTTTGGATAAT